ATCATCATCATCATCATCATCATCATCATCATCATCATCATCATCATCATCATCATCATCATCATCATCATCATCATCATCATCATCATCATCATCATCATCATCATCATCATCATCATCATCATCATTACTATCATTATCATCATCATCAGTAATGGAATAGTTATATTACTTAGATTTTCTATCTTAAAATCTAAAAGTTTCTCTTAAAAATCCCAATGCAAATAATATAAAATGTTGAGAAACACTAAGAGATAATATTTAACTAAACGAAGTAAATTTATTCCACCAAATGACAACGAAATATATCAAAATGAGAATAACTGTGGGAATAATAACTATTTATGCAATCTTTTTCTTATTTACTTCATATCAAATCAATAATTTTTAGCTTAAAAATAAAATGAAATTGATGTCACTTTGTTAATATATATATATTTATACACACATAACTTTGTTGCATCGACACTGTTTTCACATTTTAAATGTAATAATCATTCGTTGTGAAACCATAAATTGATATCTCTCTCTCTCTCTTTCTCTCCCTCTCTCTCTCTCTCTCTTTCTGCCTCTCTTATTTGAATAATAGTTAGTTATCGTTTGTTTAGAAGTGGTTGTCTTTTTTTTAATCATAAATATTTATAAATTTGAGCTTTCTTAAAATTGCATGATTTTGGTGTTAATAAAGAGTGAGAGAGAGAGAGAGAGAGGGAGAGAGATAGAGGGAGAGGAAACGGAAGAGGACAAAATTAAGCTGGTGCTTCTGAACATTGAAAGTTATCTCATTTTTTTTTCTCTCCCTCTCTCTCTCTCTCTCTCTCACTTCTTTTTGTTTACTTTAAATAGAAATAAAAAAGTAGAAAAATTTTGCTATTTTATTCCTTTTTTTGCCGATATTATAAAACTCTAATTGCAAATAATTATTTTGCTTTGTTTTCTATTTCCATTTAATTGGTAAATTGTCTCGCAAAGTTTTTATTTCTATTTCAATTATCGATGTGTGATTATTCAATTAAAATTATTCTTCCAATATTTTGTTAAATTATAATAATGCCAGCATGAATATCGTAGTTTTTCTTTTTTTTAATGATACTTTTCGTTTTATAGCTAAACATTCTTACCATTATATAACTAATTGAACGAATAATGCAGCATTAATTGACAGAATCCAATGATCTATTAACGCATTAATTTACTTATTTATTTAGCTTTCGATAATTCCAACTTCCAATTCGTAATTAGTCCTGATTATTACGTTCATAATGCTTCCCATCGGGGAACTTTAATTACCTGTATACGATGATTATTAAACTTAAGCTAGATTTTATTAACAATTTTTTTGCTTTCAAAAAATGAAAAATTATGATTTTCAGAATCGAAATTCTCGGAAATGCAATTTATAGTACGATTTATTACAGTTTTAAATTTCGGAATTTACAACCAATAGAGTATCTTATTTCCCTTTTCTTAGATTTATGATATGTTAGTAATTTTTTTTGTTGATGGATTTGGGAATCATTGTATCTCTTGATTAGCTGCAGATATCATTTATAATCAGTCCATTCATATTAATTTCAATTGCGTTTGTGTTATTTCGAAATGATTAGAAATACTACGGACGATAATTCACAATCTAATTTCATCTTTCCACATTCTATGACTTTTATTTTGTGTTTTTCGCTTAATTTTTTGTTTGCATTATTTGCATCTTATAGTATTTTATATCATTGATAAGAATCTTTCGATTATCTTTAATGAAACTTTTAGGTAAATTTAGTTATTATGGTTAAAATATCATGCTAAAATTTCATCATCTATAGAGAATGCAAACATCATAAGTATTTTATTTCTCCTTTATATTGCAATATTTTTTTCTCTCTACTTTTCTGATAGTTTTTCCTACGACATCCTTTATTCATTCCTTTTTCCTTTAATTTACTTTTTCCGCACCAATAACTTTGACATTACTTACTTCAAACATTCTAAGCGAGAATTCATTTGATAGACAACGTCCTTTCATCTTTATTTCATTGCCTTCAATGTTATTGAAATATTGACGTATGCTAAGTTTTATTATTTCTAACTCCTTTTTTTTCTTCTAATGACCTTAGAAATGCGATCGCTATCAGGAGAAATATTGTATTATATCGTTTAATCTTAATTTTTGATATGATTGCAGCAGTAGAAGTAATTTGATTTTTAATAGCTATTGTCATAATTAATTTGATATATTTTCTTTTAATTGGATTTATGCGTCATGCGAAATTAATTAACGTATTCACTCTTAGGTAATAAAGGTATATAAACCTCAGAAATAATTGAAAAATGTCATATCATAGACCATTTTCACCCATTTCAATTATCGTTGCTTTCATCGGTAGTGGTTCTTTTTTATTTTTGACAAATTTTCTCAATATAATATAAATGCAAATGCTGGCAACATGCTCCATCTAATTGACGTCAGTTTTCTGCTTTAAAATTTAAATATTTTGCCAAAAGATTTTCTACTTACCCATCATCGGTTATCTTCTGCAAATTTTTTGCTTTTTATTTCTCTCTCCTACTTTTTCTTCATTTTTAAATTTTAGAATTTGAAGAGATATTCCCGAAAGATTCACATAACATTTCCCTATACTACAAATCTTCGGGCATCACAGCAATAGCATTTTCATTTTTTCAATAAATAATTATTGATTTTTTTTTAATGTTGTAAGAATAGAGGATGAAAGCATAAAGAATTGTTGTGATAAAAGCTAGGAACGATTAATCAAATAATTATTGTGTCACATGGAATGAAAAAGATAAAATTTCATTTATAAATATCAGAACGGAGGCGTTTTACTTTGTTATTCATTCAAACGACTCCTCAAATTCTTATTTGAAATTTATTTTTTTTATAATTTATTATTTCTCTATTTCAGACATAAAAACGTATTTGATGAAAATATGTTTAAAGGCTAGTAATTAGCACAAGAATAATTTTAACGCACGTGTTATGTGCTTGGAAAACAGAGGACAAGCGACAAAGATAACAATTCAAAATGGCCGATCTCGAAGCCGTTCTTGCAGATGTAAGCTATTTGATGGCTATGGAGAAATCCAGAAATCAGCCAGCTGCACGAACATCCAGAAAGATTATTCTTCCGGATCCGAGGCATGTGCTTATATTAATTTTTGAAATATAATTTAATGCTAATTGATATAGTCAAGAGGGAAAAATTTTCAAATTTTTCTTGAAATTTGCGATATTTTGCTGATATTTTATTTAACTTGTAGCGTTCGAAGTATTATGCAAAAATATTTGGAGAAAACGGGTGAAATTAAATTCGAACGAATATTCAATCAACGCTTAGGCTTTTTATTGCTAAAAGATTTTGCGGACAGTGTTTGCGAAAAAACATGTCAACAAATCAAATTTTATGAAGCGGTAAATCTATTTATTCATTTCTTTTCCGGATCTCTTCTCCTGCAATTTCTATATTTTGTATGAATGTGTCAGTTTGATACGATAATGATTTTCTTTTTTCAAATCAATTGTATTAAAAAGCTATGTTAATAATAATGAATTCTCTTTTATTTCTGAAACATCAATTAAAAATATCTGTTAGGTTTCAAATGATAAATTTATGATAGTGTTAGTGATAAACAACGATGAGTATTATTTCATCTTGTTGATTTTAATCTCTGATAACTTAACTTCTCTAGAGATACTTTTGTTTGAGATTGCTTACTAAATTGTTGAGGACACAAAAAGATGGATTTTACACCATAATTTATTGAATGTGAAGTGAAATTACTCATTGTATGCTATAACATTCTTCATCAAATGATAATTGATAGAGCTAAAAAAATGAATTCTGAAAAAAATGAATTTATCAGTAATATTAACTTTCCTTTATTTAGATTAAGGAATATGAAAAGATGGGAACTGCCGAAGAGCGTTTAATTAAAGCTCGTGAAATCTACGATCACAATATTATGGTGGAAATGCTTGCTCATTCACATGTAAAAATGTTTCAAATGAAATTTAATAAATAAAATATTGTCGTCTTTAATAACTAATATATTTCAGTTTTGTTAAATTATTGTTAAAATTACCTTTCTCTTTAAAAAATAGACTTGAGTTTTAAGCTTAAATTTACTACTACTACTACTACTACTACTACTACTACTACTACTACTACTACTACTACTACTACTACTACTACTACTACTACTACTACTACTACTACTACTACTACTACTACTACTACTACTACTACTACT